CTATCGAATGTCATTTGCTGCACTGAGCAGACAAACGAGGTGGAAGCATAGTCATCGCTATCAGAAGTGGTACTAACATTGGTAAACCGTGGATACCGTAAATTGTCTATTTCATGGTGGAGGAAGTTTTCTCTACCAATAAATAATTTTTGTATCCATGATGAATGGCTGTTCATGGCTATTCAATATGTCAATGTAAACAATCGAATTAATAATCTAATCTAAAGCATTTGCAAGTCATCCTATCCTTAAATTGTTGTCCTGTCAGCACTGTACGTGTTACAGCCAATTTTGAAATAAATATCATCCTTTATTTGGAGGACAGTCATATGGATGCTCATCAGTTGATGACGGATTTAAACACGAGGAAATCATGCGAAATTCGACAGCATATTGTTAAAGGGCTCGAGCAATACAATAATCAGTCGAAGTATTGCGGATGTTTTCGTTCAGTATACACTGAGTGGCACTCTTTGCGTCGGAGCCGTTGGAGCGATCGCTACACATTGAGTTTTCGTTATGTCTGGGTGTGTGTGTCTTTCTTCTCTTCTCCGCTGCTTTACGCTTAAGCAGGGTGTAATGCTAGTAAACTTTGGGTGTGGGTTCTCACGTTGTGGTTTTCAGAAAATCAGTACATTGCGCACATTGAGTGATCCGATGACAGCCTTGTGTATAGGTGTTCAAAAATATGTTTACACTATCTTGAAGGTCATTATAATAGAAATACGGGGAAAACATTAAACCTTAAAAAAAATATATATTAATAATGAATTTGAGACAGTCGCGTTCCTTATGAAATTGTGGAACTATTTTATGTTTAGTTTTAGAGTGAGCGGTAAACAGAACCCTCGATTGAGTTTCCATTCACCGCTCATATGGATGTAAACAAACGTTATTTTTTTTCGATAATAATCAGTGCAATAATGTGTAGAACGTTACGAATCATTAGCAGACATCTAAAATGAGTGAATTAGTCGGTAAAATGAATTTTTAAAACTTATTTTGTTAACCTTTTCAGCAAATTTTGAAAAAATAAGCGTTGAACGGTACTAGGTATTGTTACCTATGCACCGGTACTGGTTTAAGAAAAAAATTAATTGAAAATACAAGCAAAGAAAATATTCAATTATTGAAAATTGTGATCAATTTGCCCCCGGTTTACGAATCGTATTTTCCAAACAATTTTTTTTATGAAGATACGGTTTGAACTAAAACTAGGTGAAGATGCCGACATTGTATTCCGATAGAAAATGAATTGAACATTGATTGAAATGAATGAAACATTTTGAAAGTCGAACGAACAGCTCATTTATTTTTCATAGAATGAGGTCTTTTGTCGAAGTGTACGATTTCGAAATTTTTTTCAAAGATCCAGAAATTATCCAAGTGCAAGATTTTGTAATGTCTTTGATGGTCGAAGTCGCACAGTGTTGAAAATTATGCCAAAGAACCACAAAAAGTTTAATCTTTAACTTTTCAAAATTCGGTCCAATCGGGGTACGCCCTAATGACGTTCGACCTACTGTATTGCCCGACTCATAACGAATATACGTTGATTCCGCGGGATCGTATACCTCGTGTAATTTTACGTTCATTATGGTATGTAGTGGCCTACGGTCTAATGGCTTTAGTACCATAGAGGTAACTCTAAGACCAGAAGGTCCCGAAGAAACGAGCTCAACTTTTTGGCTCAGCTCTGGTACTATCTTCGGTCCCAAGCTAATCGATGCACCCCTCGAATCATAGGAAAATCCACGAACCCCTCATTTTATCCGTCAAACTTTCATAGCGAATCAAAATAAACATAGTGTAGTACTAGAATGGGGTACGTTAATCGATTTGCTTGGGACCAATAGGCTAGTCAAGTAGTGAGCCAATTTAAAATCGTTAGTACTATACAAAGATAAGTTAATTTGTTTCCATAGCAGTATTATCAACCGGTGGAAACTAACGATTTTAAATTGGCTCAGCCAGGACTAGCTTACCGGTCCCAAGTACATCAATGAACGTACCCCATTCTAGTCGAAATTCTAGTACTACACTATATTTGTTTAGATTCGCTATGAAAGTTTGACAGATAAATGAGGGGTTCGTGTGTTTTCCTATGTTTCGAAGGGTGCATCGATTAGCTTGGGACCGAAGAGTGTACCAGAGCTGAGCCCAAAAGATGAGCACGTTTCGTCGGGACCTTCTGGTCTTAGAGTTAGCTCTATCATAGAGGAGTTTTCAATATTTTGTCATAACTTGCCATAGCAGTGGTGTGCTTTATCGAAGAAGGGAAGGTCGGCATAAGAGAAAAGTGACAGCCTTGTGTGGCTTGCTGGTATAATATCCCTATATCATTGAAGTAGAGTGACAAGATATTATGAAGGTGCCAGTGGTGTTGTGGTAAGCGTGACTGCTTCCTCACCCCCTTCTTCTTCTTCATTCCTTTAATAAACGTCGGTCTCTGTTCCGCAATCTAGTGCCAACTAAAGAGCCTGAATTTATAAAGAGGTGACATCTTATCCATTGGACAGGTCTTCTGCTCGATTGCACGGTCGTTTCCGCGAGAGAAGAAGAACACGTCACAGACAAAAAGAAGCCAGTTGTCTCCTCTTCCTCTTAGGTTGGTACCGGCCCATGTGCTTTGATGGGTGCAATATCTACCAAGGTGTGGAAGTCGCCCCCCTGACCTCTTGATTGCCGTCAATGGATGGCAATCGATGTCTGTATATAGGTGATTGGCACTAGATTGCGAAACAGAGACCGTCGAAAGGAATCAAAAAGAAAACCATAATAAAACTGTTTGGCTCCCGATCCCGATGACAGATCGTGAGAGTTTGTACTTGGTTCCTTCTGACGTTCATATATTTTGAGTCTGGATTTCCCTCCCAGGTCAAAACCGAGGGGGACAACTCTATCTACAATGCGGGAACGATTTTGTTTTAGTGTGGTTAGCTGCGCGCACGCTGACTAGATAGAAAGAAGATTTACACACTTAATCTACCTCGGTAAAATCTCCAACAACCGATTACTTCGGCATTTACTTTTGCTGATATCTCTGCAAAATATCTGTTTGTTAGCTGATATCTCAGCAAAATGTTATTTGTTAGCTGAGTCTCCACGAAACGAAAATCAATTATTTAATTCATGTGTTTCACTTATACATTCTTGCCAAAGCATCAGCCTTATACATTCCATAAGACAAACCACATATGTCCTATTAGAATGCATAAAAGGTATGTGTGACCGCTTATACTTTTCATTTGACACATGATCTTTATTAACTTTTTGCAAGGCGTCTGCTTATTAGTTGACTTATACAATTTATGAATAATCAACAATGGAAATTTGCCAAAAGGTATAAGGAGATTTCTATCCGTGTCGGCAATTGTTTGACTCAATCTCAGCAAAATAAATTATAGAATTTCTCGGCTGTTGGAATCTCGGTGAACATTTTTAAGTGTGTATGACGATTCTGAAGATTTCCTGCAAAAAGATGATGCGCGATGCAAGTAAATGCGAGAAACGAAAGAAGATTTTTAGTAGATTGGTTTGCTAGAGTGAGATTTTTCGAGCATCTAGAATTGAGATTTAGATGTTTACAATTTTATACACGCTCGTTCATTTTTACTCAGTTTCGTATTTCTATGCAAAATGTCAAAAGCTAAGTAACATTGATTTACCAATGTGAGTAACTTCTACTCAGTTTATGTTAAATTAATGCTTACTCACTTTTGAGTAATCCCACAGAAATTTTACTGACCGTGTTTTGTCAAATACTTTATACATTTTCGTTCTGTTTACTCCGATTTTGAACATAAAATTCCTCAGGATGCACTAAATAATATAAATTCCTCGATAAAGCTCCAGTACAGAATCTTCAGAAGCCACATCATCAGCCCCAGTTTATCATTTCCCGATACCTGTCCCTGTCTGAATAAACGAATTCCTGCGGCAAAGGCTCGTGAGTCAATTCAAAAATTTGATCGCCAATCTACTGAGGTGGGTGGTGTTGAATCCAAGTTCCATTTACGAGCAGATGGATTAATTACAATTTTAGACAGATTCTCATTTCATCGATATTGAACTGCAACTGAAGACCAGAAGAGATGACTGGATACTTTTTGTTTTTTTTCCGTTCCGGCGCTGATGACGTACGCTGCGTTTGAGTTTCTGCAAATTCCGTAGATAGATGAGCTACCCTACATAGTACACGCCTATATAGGCGCCCAAAATAGTATGCCACAAGTAAGTATATCACCAAAACAACTCAAGATCCAGAAATAAAAACCGATGGTGCTGCAGAATAATGAGGTAACTTCTACAATATACTGTAATTTGTACAATAATACTCATATTACTCATATTACTTTAAACAATTGTCACGTCGGTCATAGCTTGTTATGATTGTCTAAACAATGCGTAAAGAGCAAATTGAAACATTGAACGTCGCGTGATAGTGGAATTTAATCAAGGCCTAAATACTTTTTCGTAGCCTTTTGTTTTCGGATTTGAAAGATCGTCGGTTGCAGTGGCTTGCTTACTGAGCAGAAAAATGCGGTCCCAGGTCCTTTCATATTAAAAATGTATGGTAAGATCGCTTGTTTATCGTGTATTTTGCTAAACCTTGTCGTCAGTGCCGGGTTTGAATAGTTATAACAACTTGAGTAACGGTATGATGTGATATGAGGGGCTCGGTGGCCTTAGAGCAACCGTTTTTGCTTACTGAGCAGAACATCCTGAGTCTAATCTCAAGCCCATCCACATCAAGATTCGTCAATCGTTTTATTTGTTAATATGACTACATGGTAATAACAGCAACTCGATGATTAAAAAGGAGCTTGTTTGCCTAGTAGCAAACGTGCATCACGAATTAGAGCGGGCAGAACTTGTTACTGTTTTTCAGTGAATATAAAATACATTCATTGAAAAACAGTAGTGGCTTCTGTTTGCTCTGTTCTCATGCATAAGAGATACGGATTTGAAATGTTGACAAAAAATTGTAGCTAATAACAAAACCTACAAAAGCTCCATACATCATTTTGCGGAATTCTGTTGATGAAAAAAGTTAGGGGCAAATGAATGTAAATGAATGCACGAAATTAATGCAAATGATTTTCCATGCCTGCTTAGGACCTAATGCAATGTTCAGCTTGAATTAGGAACGCATTGATGAATTACCACCAAGTATGATTTCTTTAGATTGAATTATCGCACGATCACAATACTTCCACCACATTGATCCAATAATCTGTACCGTACTTGCTTATTTGCTTTTGCTGTAGCTTGCTGCAGTTTTATGAAAGTTGTTGTAAGAAAATAATAAGGTGCACTACTCCGTATCTGACGATCCCTCTCAAAGAACACAACTTTATGCTCGTTTGTGCTTGAGCTTGATTAATCGCTCGTAGTTGCTACTCCGCGATTGCTGATCAGTTGAGAATTGAGGCTGCCGGTAATCCTATTTATTGAATAATACCAGCGTATGCAAAAATGCAGGTGAATTATGGAAAAATTAGGAATAATGTATGCATCTAACACAGAGCAAGCCGTTAAAATGCGTTTTAATTTTATTAGCATACTTTGATCAAACGTATTCCTGATTTTCTAGAGAAAATTTTATATTCGTATGAAACGGACTTGCTATGCGCAGCAGTAAACTTGTCAGTGACATAGCAATCAATCAATAAAATAAAAAAGTATTCAGAATGGTCTCAGACAACCAGGAAACGCCGTCTAAAATACATGAGAATCTCGAAGAGATGCTTGAGCGAGTTCCGGTCAAACTGTCGTTGAAAATGCAAGTCTGTGTCAATTTTGAAATATAACCTATTTTGCTTATTAATTATATTGCACGTGTTTATGTGTATGTATTAGTAGCATTCAAAATGTTGTCATTTCCGGCTGATTCTATGGATGGCACTATTGTCTTAGTTTAAAAACGATTTCGAGTTGATCAACGGAACTAGGTTGAGTTATAACGTACAGAAACTAATCATATTTAAAGCGATTGTACAACACTGTGTTCCCAATTCATTCCATAACAAGAAAACAAACTGAACCTAATGAATGGTAAAACAAAGCAAAGACAAAACATCTCAATAGCATCACCATTGGCAGAAGTGGCGTTCGTTTTCGTTTGTGTGTGTATGTGTGTTTTTCTTTAAATTAATTTATGTTTTTTTACATTTATAGTTTTTTTTTCTGTCGATTTGTACAAGCAAGGCACGTTATATACGTTTCTTTGCCATTGTTTTTTCTTCCTGTTCAGTTTTTGATCCTAGCCCTGTTCCATTTGTTACTCGTTTTTTTTCGTATCGCGCGGTTGCCAAATCACATGTCCTTCGAATTGCCAATAATTGTATGTTGTTTGTTTACTATCGATTCTAAATCGCTGGGACCGGGAAAAAAGTTCAACCCAAGCTGTCGTATCGTTTCAAAGCGAAAGTAAGTCGTTTTATAAATCTATTCACCTCAACATGACGATGACGATACACACACATACATATATCTTGCTATGTTTGCCATTGACGTTTCATTACAACTGTTTTGTTTTCTTCAATGCAACTCAAACATGTTTTGCTTAACAATGTCAATCACAATTTCTCGTTTGTTTTTCTTCTTCTTCTTTTTGTTAAGTGTTTAAGATAGCTTTTCGAAATTAGATTCCGACTCTTTTCTTTTCACGCTATCAAATTTAATGAGACTTAAGCTAATACTCAAAATATTTTCGATTTAGCTGGTATCAATATCCTTGTCCAAAATACGTATCGCTTGAAATTACAGATTTTCGCTCGCTAATGATTCGATTGTTTCTTTTTGTTAAATGTATCAAAAAAGAGGTTTCCAACTAGAAACTATAATTTAGCACTATTTTCTTAGTTTTGAAATTAAATTTTGAGGTGAAACTACCCAAATAGCAAATAAAAAGTACAATAAACTTCTCGTTATGCGTTATCTGGTATAGTAATTGCCTGCTTTTTTTGTTTTTGTTTTTTTTTTGTCATTAGTTTTACCCATTTTCATCTGCTTATTAGTACTATAGTTTTAATAGGTCAACTTACTTCCTACTGTTCGTTTCAGGTACCAGATTGTAATATATCTTATGCTTCTTACTTTTTCTTAAAGGTTTTGTTTGTTTTGCTCTATAAATTAATACGTCTGCAGTATATAGTATATATAGTTTATAATGTTTTCATTATAGTTTCATTAACGTTTGCAATGCATTTTGGGTTTACGGCTTTCATTGGCCATCGCACATAGCGGATGGAACCACACTTCCCATATGATTCGAAGTGCTGCAGTGTGTAGCAATGCAATCAACATAAAGTGCTTTTTATTCACAACAACTTTTAACTTATAAATTAACCTCTATTGCATTTAGGTACGTTGAGTTTACGTTAGGAGCAACTTTTGCTGAAACAAACGGTCGGCACCAACTACGCACCGTTCTTGGGTTCGGGCTGCTGAGGTCCTAATTTATTTCAAAATATAGTTAACATAAATGCTTTTTAGGTGAAATTTGTTTAAGATCACTGTGAGCAAACAAGCAATGTAGATTTTGCAAGGTAAACGTGTGGAATTCGGGAAAAAATGTAACACGGCCCGTTTCAGCAAACTTTGCTCCCTTTATGATCGTGAAAGATGACTGATTTTGGTGAAGCAAAAGCAGCAAATTTGGAATTTTGAAACTGAGAACTGTATGCTGCGAAGATATGGTGTAGATTTTCGATATAGACTCCACCAAATATTAACCTTAAACATATCCCCAAACGTCAATAGTAAAAGAAGCCTCTTGTTCGATCAATATTCTGTTTGCCGTCGACTAAATCTTACTATTTCTTAATTTAGTTTAAAAAAAATAAAAACATCTTTCAATAGCGTCCGAAACAACTCTGTTTTGCGTATAAATTCCTTGTAGCCAAAGTATGATTGAGAATAGATAATTAGTGCATGCATATGGGTCATCTTACTTTGTTGCGATATTGGCGATCACATGTTCGAAACTGTCGATCGGATGGTGGTGGTGATGAATGATGATGATCTTGCCGACGACTGCTGTGATGGTGTAACTAACCGTTCGGTCCGACTATGGGTCGCCGGAAATTCCAGCTGGAGGTATGCTGTTGATGCAGTGGCTTTGTGCTGATACTGCTTTCGTTCAGCAGCGACGAAGAATTGTCCAAGTCTTCCAGGTGGTGCTCATCGTCGTCGTCATCGGGATCGACGATGTCGCATTCGTTGTGGTTGCATGGACCGGTTGAATTGAGCAATTGCTGTCGATGTGGTTGCAGCCGAATGCAGTCACTGTGGAAGCTAGTCAGCACATCGCCGGCTCTCTGCTGCTCGTTGTTGTTGCATTCCTCGTCCGGATAGCTTCTGGACGCCGGAGCTAACCGCATCCGCACCGACAGCTGTTGCTGTTGGTGCTGTTCGGCACTCAGGGGGTTGTTGGTAGAGGTATTCAATTGGTTAGCATCGTCGTTTTGATCACAGTTAGTTACATCATCGTCGTACGGTTCTATACTATTACTATCTATTGTTAAATCTAATAATCTACGTTGGCTACTGTCGAATAGCGAAGTGTTCAGTACGGCTGTTGGAGAGTGGTATCCTCCTGGCGTTGTTTTGTTCTTCGAATACTGCAATGAGATGGAAGAATAGGAAACAATTACGTAAGAATGATAGTTGTTCGCTGAAACAATATGCAATTGGTGCTCTTTATTAAAGTCATGTCATTTCAAATGAATACCACCAAGATAAGAATCTATAATCAAAAGAACGAAAAAATACTTCTATAGCTAAATCAGAAACTTATTCCATATCGAGCGCGGTCCCGGTCTCGACACACGACATTCAATTTGTGAATTTTTCTACCCGCGGGGTTTTTTTCGCATTACAGTGCACAGTGTTCAGGTGACTACCCTAGCAAGGTAAAATAACAACCTGTTATCACCTTAAAAACAAGTCTTGTTATTCCAGATATCATTTTGATTTCACTTGTTATCGCATAACTAATTTAGTTATCAACCTCGACTATTTTTTTATCCGTTATCATGAAAGAATATGAAATGATTCAAGGTTAGTTAAAAACTTCGAATGTAATCCGCATGGTAAAAAAAACCCTGCCAATCATATTTCAGTTGTAAGTGTAAACTCCGATAAAGTGCAGCGTTCAATGTCTGGACGCTCCAAGCAGTCATGTGTACAAATGGTGAAGGCTGCATCAGCCGTTCTACGGTGGTACACGCACCCTCAAAAGTGGACGAATCATCTCAAGTCCCCGGCAAGGTGACAGATAACCTTAGTTTCAAGTACCCACTTGCAAATAGTAAGGGGGCCCCCGGTGACTGTCAAGCAAACTCCACACGCATCAATATATTGACACGAAGGGGAATTATTGACAATAATATTGATGATGTGAATACAGAAATATTGTCAATCTCGATATATTGGCGTCAATATCTCAATATCAAAACTTTTTGAATCAATAGTAAACGACAAAATTTTTCAGCAAGTAAAAAATCAAATTACAAACAAACAGCACGGCTACCTCTAATCTTCTTGAATTTTAAGAAATAAGTAATTATATTGACACAGCAGAATTCCAGAATGAAATCAACGTTTTCAACACTTGGTGTAGTAAAAGTCTACTCCAACTCAATGTAAAAAATACAACGCAATTGTGTTTAGCAGAAAAATAGAAACCTCTTTTTGAAATATTTTTAGGCAACCAAAAAGTAGAAAAATGTAAAATTGTAAGGGACCTAAGTGTGATCCTAGACACCAAACTCACTTTTGTAAAACATTATAATACAATCATAACGAAATCAAATAGTATGTTGGGCTTCATTAAGAGGTTCAGCTATAATTTTCAAGACCCATACACTATCAAATTATTATATATTACATACGTAAGACCTATTTTGGAATACTGTAACCTAGTATGGAATCCGTACATTGCCATACACGAGGAACGCATAGAATCCGTCCAAAAACATTTGAATTGGACCGCATTTCCTCTTCCATCATATGAAGCACGCTGTATGCTCATCAACTTACAAACACTCAAAGAACGCCGCGAATTTGCAATGCTTTTCTTCATCAATGACATTATTTCACATCGCATAGAATCATCAGAAATACTTTCACAACTAAACTTCTACACACCCTGTAGGCATCTAAGAACACGAAAATTATTCTCAGAAAAATCACACAGAACAAATTAAGCAAAAAATGGCCCCTTCAATCGAATGATGCGACAGTATAATCTACACTGTGAAGTCATTAGCATCACTATGTCAAAAGAAGAAATTAAATCCCAACTAAAACATAATAGAAATAATGCATAGTATGTAAGTAAAACATTGTAACCATTGTATGTAGTCTACTTTGCTTGACGAAATAAATAAATAAATAAATATAGAATGTATTGACAATACGATTTTTGTCAATAAAAGCAATCGTGTATAAAGCCCTCTAGTTAAAGTATGGACGACTGTCACCACAAAACTGAAAAAAAGCTGTTCCAATCGAGCAAAGCGGTGCATTTTGACGGTTCGATTGGAACAACTTTTGACAGGCGACCATACGTTTACTGTAGGGGTTTAATCGTGTAGGGTCCACTTCAAATACGAACAATCGTCGCCTACCTCGCATAACTGGTTCCAAACGACAACAAAGCCGTAAGCAACAATGGTTTGTTCATGCTTGGAACCAAATTGACATATGGAAAATCAATGAGAGTAAACAGGTGAGGCCCAGTAAATTTATCGTCTCTTTCGTTCTACGGCGGATTAAATGGATGACGGAGTTTGAAGTCACACTCCTTTAACCGTTTAAACAGCGGGAGAATGAAAAAGATGAGCTAGGATATGAGAAATTCATTGAGCCTTACATGCAGGCAAAGGAACGTACGAATTCCATAAGAAACACTTATGAATTTTAGCCACAAGAAATCAGTATGAATTTCACTGATTTGCCTTATGAAAAATAATGTTTACAAAATAATAAATCGTAGCAGACTGAAACCGAACCATGGACGTTGAGCTTACGGGGCCTGTGTATTGACCACTCGTCTTTCAAAGCTAGGGAAGATGAAATGATTAAAGGCGTATAAGAACTACCTCATGTTACCCGAAAATCATTCATAAGTTACGCTTTTGAAATTCATATGTGTTGTTCATAAGTCGAGCCTTATTGAATTCTTAATTCTGTTTGCCTTAGTGTACATATTTCCATCTCATTGATGGATTTTCAGTAGGCCGATTTGGTAGCACATCCCGCCTCTGAGTAGATGTCACCAAACGACGTAAGCACATTTTTCACCATGTGTGGATGTCAAACAACAGACAAGAAGCCATATGAAAAGAGCTAATTTATGATTTTAGTTGTGAAATGAAACAAATCCATAAAAAATGAACCGAGTTTCATCTTCTTATATCAGGCATAACATTTGATAACGGCACAAAAGCATTTGTAAACAAACCAAAGTACGTCCACGCAAACCAACATCATCGGATAGGCGCAACGGTCACCTGCTGTATCAGGGGTCGAAATCGTCGCTTGCCAAATAAATGTGAAAAACAAAGGTCTTTGCATAGCTTCAGTATACATTCCACCAAGAACCTCCATTAGCCGTAGTTAACTCTGGAATCTAGTTTCGATTCTTCCATCCCCAGTATAAATTCTGGGGGATATGAAATCCTATGGTACTGGGTGGGACGATCTATACAATAGAGCGGTTTTTTTTTAAATTTATGTGAAGCGACACGTATAGGAAAATCTCCGGCTCGAGAAAGCCGACTCGACCTAGCTTTGTGTTCAAAATCGCTATCATTGGACTGTCAGTGGAAGGTTATCAACGATCTCTTTGGTAGTGATCATTTGCCGATCATCATTTCAATTAAGTGTGGCCCTCACTCTGCAGAATCATCTCGAGTTCCATTTGATCTAACAAGGAACATCGACTGGCAGAAATATGCAACGGCGGTGACAATCGGTGTCGTTCACCGTTGGAAGAATATCGATTCCTCACCGATTTGATTTACAAAAGCTCACTGGAAGCACAAAAAAGAAAAGTTCCAAGTGCACACTTCAAAAGGAGACCAGCCACACCTGGATAGGACGAAGAATTCACAAAATTGTATGTAGAAAAATCGGATGATTTCAAAGCTTTTCGTAGGCACAAAACCTCCACATAGGGGTAAGAGGGGCATAGTGAACAGGTGGGGCATAGTGAGCATCCCGTGCACCAGCTTGGACTTCCGGCCGTTCGGAACAAATTGTTTGGTGGTACGATCAATATCATAATGATATTGAACCTACTACCAGTTGATTTGTTTCATGTAGCTGGAGATCCCACAGTGCGGGATGCTCACTATGCCCCACCTGTTCACTATCCCCCCCTACTTCGAGGATTATCAAAGCTTGAGACAAACTGAAACAATTAATCAAAGCAAAAAACGCGGTTATTGGCGCAATTTCATCGAGGGACTCTCACGAGAAACCTCAATGAACACCTTGTGGAGGGTAGCTTGCAACACGCGTAACCGCTCACCTTCTAATGAGAGTGAAGAATACTCCAACTGATGGATATTCGAATTAGCTAAGAAGGTCTGTCCGGGCTGTTGTATATTCTTCGAGAAACGTCTCCAAGCGGTGGCTCTCTGGATAGAGCATTCACAATGCTGGAATTCTCTATGACTCTTCTTTCATTGAACAACTCTAATTCAATCTTCTGACAAATCGCCCAGATATCGCTAAAAGACGCTTGCTAAACTTATTCAATTTCTTACTAGAAAACAACATTGTACTGCCTGAATGGAGGTCAAGGTAATAGCCATTCACAGACCTGACAAGCCATAATTTATACCGTCCGATTGCTATGCTTTTGTGCATTAAGACATTGTAGGAGAAAATGATCCTTCGGAGACTCGATCAGTGAGTCAAATCAAATAACTTGATATCAAATACACAGTTTTGGTTCCGCAACAGCAAAGCAACAACGGCTGTCTAGCGCTGGCTTTCCATTGTTAGTCAACTGGCCTTTGCGCAGAAGGAGCAATTGGCTTCAGTATTATTGGACATTAGAGGGACTTTTGATTCAGTTACCATTGAAATTCTGTCAGAAAATCTGCACAGATGTGGACTTTCTGGAATTTTAAATAATTTCTATTGTCAGAAAAGAAAATGAACTTTTCCCTTGGACAACTGACAAGGCTCATGTCTCAGCCCTCTTCTTTATAACTTTCCTATCAAAGATATCGACAACTGTTTGGCATAACAATGCACGCTAAGACAACTTGCAAATGATGGCGTTCAAAGTTCCTTAGATAACTTGTCTTATTGGGCTAGAAATCTAGGGATCGAATTCTCGCCGCAGAAAACTGAACTGGTAGTGCTTAGCCGAAAGCGGTACTCAGTTCTAATGCAGCTTAATCTTTTGGGTAGAAACATTACCCAATCATCGACTTTCAAGTACCTTGGGGTCTGGCTTGATTCAAAGTGCACTTGGAATACCCATATTACGTAACTTTCTCCGTTCAATTTGTGGCACATGGTAAAGAGCTCATCCGGGAGACCTCATAACGCTTTATAAAACAACAATTCTCTCTGTTCTAGAGTACGACTCTTTCTGCTTTCTCTCGGCAAGAAAATTGGAACGAATTCAATATCATTGTCTGTATATTGCTCTCGGTTGTATGCACTCAACGCATAACATGAGTTTCGAGGTTCTGGAAGGAGTAACACCTCTCCAGAACCGTTTCTGGGAGCTCTCTCTCAAATGCGGAGTGACAAACACACTTATAATTGCAAATTTTGAAGAAATTTTTGGGCTGAACACACAATCTCGATTTATGAGAATCTACCACCACTACATATCGTCGGATATGTGTCTTCCTTGTTATACTCCAGACCGTGCTCACTTAACCAATCACTGTTCCTCAATTGAATATGATCTGACCATGAAACAAGCAACTCATGGGATTTCCGAACAACTTCGGATAGTCTCAGTTCGATTGAGGCTATTCGGTCGATGAAAACAGGTAGGCACTCATCTTATTTCCTTTCAAAGGTAAGGGAGCAGATGAGTGTGCTGGTCGAAAGATCATATATGATTGCCTTTGTATGGCTCCCCTCACATTGCCAATCCCAGGCAATGAGAAGGCGGACTCTCTAGCAAAGGTGGGCTGCGCAGGAAGGCGAATTTTACGACAGGCAAATTTCACACGATGAATTTTACCATTTAGTGCGTCAGAGTACTCTTTCAAGTTAGCAAACCGATTGGGACAGGGGAAATCTAATGAACCGATCCCTCTCTCGACCCAAGGAATGTAGGTATACTTCAGGTTCGGGCTCTATAGGAACTTCAACGTGACATAGTACATTCACATACCGGATCGCTCAATCTGAATCTAAAATCAAATGAACGTTTTCGTATCTTAAAAACGTTTCTACGTAAAAAATAATATTATTTATATTCACGGTACACCGGTGGTGTAGTCGTAATCGTGACTGCTTTCTAACTCCATTTTGGCTGAGTTCAATCCCAGCCGAGGTCGTTGGGATTTTTCTTAGGAAGGGAAGTGAAGCCGTAAGTCCCGGCCCAAGCTCCATTGAAGGAAGTGCGGTATCTACCAGTGTGAAAGTCGCCTCCCTGGCATTCGATTGGCATGGACACTCGATTGCTGAACAGAGACCGACGTTAAATAAAGCAATTAAGAAGAAGAAGAAAGCCAATACCGCTTTGGATGTTAGTTATTAACAGATCGCAACCAAATTCATTCAGATCTTGAGGACAGCAACACAAATTGAAAGAGCAGTGGGAAGCAGGGGCTTGTATTGTTGATCCACCCTAACGAACAGGTTATAATTAGAAGGATTTGAAGATATGCTTCCATTGTGGATTTTAGTAACTTCCTTCCCGTAATAAATAAATGGATATAACTTGTAGATATAACTTCATGAAAAACACTCACCTGTGGATTATCTATAATCCGTACCGCTGCAGCATCGGCACCGTGGCTGACCGGATCGTGGCTGCCATTGCTGCTGGTGCAGTATTTTGCGGTGCGATGTTGTTGTAGCTGCTGCTGCGGCAGTTGTTGTTGTTGTTGAGATTGAACTGAACAGGAGGACATTGTCGAGCCATTCGAACCGGCCGATGTGGTCGAAAAGTTCGAGGCAGACGAGAGCGACGTCGAGGTAGCTGCAGAACTTGGCACGTGTTCCGCGGTGGTAGTGCTTATTGCCATTATGGTAGGTGCAGTAGAAGTCGTATCAGTAGCTGTGGTTGTTCTATAGGAATGTTTCGGTTGCAGTTGATTTGGTTCACCCGTACTCATAGTCATGTGTGTGCATCTGCCGCTCATGTTATAGCCTCCTGTTGGAGCACCTGGCTCACAGTGCCCGTCGTTATTGTGATAGCTACTATTGGTACTACGATAAATACTATTACTACTAGTGGCGTTAGGTATCGATTCTGGTTCCATGTCGGGAACTTCGCTAGCTTTTAAAAGAGAGTTCAACGGTATACTTATATTGCTACCTAAAACGTGTGAGGATACTGCTGGTTGTTGGAGTGGAAGTAAACTGGTGTTGGTTGAGAAAGAAATGGTTGTCTGTTGTAAAAGTCCGTTTTTGTTCGAGGATAGGAGGTGAGATTTGCCATTTTGAGTTTCAGGGTTATTGGAAGGATTCGAGTTGGCATGAGGGATCCGAACACTTCCAAATGTGTTTACAGATTGCTGATGATTGACGGGTATCTGAGGTTGAGGTTGTTTGTATTTTCCATTTGGTATTAATACTGGTAGTTGCTCTGATGTTCCGATAAGAGTTTGCATCTCGTGAATGTCGGCATTGCAGTTTACGGAATGCATCTGCAATGCCGCCGTTGTAACGGTCGTGGCTTGATTTCGAGGTGGTTTCTTGCAGTTTTTTCTATGTATTGCCAGCAAACAACAAAAAATTAGAAGACATATGACCGTGAATGAACCGATCCCTATCTCAACCCAAGGAATGTACACTTCAGGTTCGGGCTCTAACGGAACTTCCACGTGACTTAGTAGATTCACATAGATCGGAATGCCGATTCCAGTGCTGCCAATCGCCATGATGGAGATATTAATTTTATCATCCGTCGAAACATTCGGAAATAGAAATTGATTTGCGTCAATAGTGAGGTTCGCGGAGTGGTTTACGTTATCTTTGTCGATCCACTGAATTAGATATCCCTGGAGCATGCCATTCCTATTTTCCGGTGGTCCCCACGTGAGCGTTATTCCATCCTTTCGCGTCAACGCGTGATCAGTGACTGGCCCAGGAACTGAAACAATAATAAAGATCAGTTAAAATGACCTTAACAATTCTAGTAGTTTACAAGTTTTACCATCCTGCTTTGTTTGAAAGTCCAGCACATCACTGATTGGTTCCTTTGAATGGCATGGCTTCAGGAAGGTTTTGTATAATGTAAAAGGTAGTAAACCCACTAAATTGTAGTGTGTTGCGTCTTTTGGTCTGCAATAGAAAATCACATTTTTTTATTCAGAAAAGAATCAGTGCATTAGGGAAATGTTTTCATCCATTTATGTTTTCCATACGGACTCACATGTTCACACAATTAATTCGGTTAGAGCCACCCCTGATGAAAACGTCATGGTTGACATTTTTATAGCACAACGTCAGACACTTGTTCATGAGATCGGTTGCAATGAACCGGCTCCAGGTGAATTGAACACTGCGTGCATCCACGTGATTGGTTTGGAAGCGATTTACCGCATCAGGACGACGAATGGATGAATCAATCTGCAAAAATGTTGGTGTGATGAAACTGATGCAAAATTTGCTAAAAAATTATACAATCTCTTACTGTTTTCCATTGAATGTAGTGAAGATCCTGCAGCATAGGTTCTCCGTCGGGTGCAACGGATCCCAGTATACTCACATTGAGATTTTTGGTGTTCGGAATGAATATTCCGGTAACATTGCCGGGAACCTTGATTTGCGTGATCAATACCTGGTGATACTTTATGTCGTGCTTGTCCTGACCTGTTACCCCAACATTACCGGCAGCCGTTTCCAAATCCAACGGTGTGCCGGTGAGCGAATCAAAGATCTGTTTCCGATTCCGTCCCATGTCGAAAGCTCGTCGGCGACGTTTGCGTCGTTTTTTCCCAGTCGTGTCTTCGAGTACATTTTCACGGATTTCCTTTACGCTGACATTGATGCTTTCCAAGAGAGGTTCGACTTCTTCATGGGTTATGTAGTCGTCCAGGATCTGAACGGTTCCATTGATTTGATGAGCGTCGAAGGGTAGACCAGATGAGCCGTTGTGTTTGAGCTGGATGGTGTAGGCAGTTGGTTCAACACCAGTAAACCGGGGCCACCAGATGAAGATTCCGTTGGAGACAAATATCGACAATACGGGTACTGCAAAAAAGGGTTGACATTTTAGAGACATTAGTATACGATTACAGGACTTAAGGTGAGGTACATATGTGCTTATATATAATGTGGGTCGTTCAAGCTCAAGTGTACACAAAGTTGATGTCAATGTCACCGATTTCAGCCAAACTTTGCCAATTTTGATATTCTAGAAAAATACCTTTTTAGATTTTGCTCTTAAGTGCTTGTTCCCCTCTGAGCTACAACCCTGATTTTTTTAGATTTATAGAAATTATATCTTTGAATAGAGATTACCCCGCAACCAAACCAACAATTTACTCCGCAACCAAAATTTTTCAGGAATTATAATGTAGAATTTGATTGATTTATTAATTATTTTTTTTATAAAAACTACAGAGCAGATTGTTGGAAGGTATCCAAATTATTAAAAAGGTCCCTTCGCTCAGATTTTGACCTGAAATACGTGAAATTCCATCCCAATATTGGAAACCCTATTTAGGGGAAAGGTCGGCTTCGGCAATACCTTAACCTATTATTGTCAGGGGGTAAACAAAGTCCTAGAGCACTTAAATTTGGCCAATAGATACTCTGAAACACAATTTATCCTTATGCCAAAATTGAGCTTTAAGGTATTGCGGAAGCCGACATTTCCCCTACTAGATGTGTATCGAATAAATGATTTCAAAACACAGTTTTTGAGATATGACCAGATGAGTGAGTACAGTCAATTTTGAGCTTTAGAGCCGGAAAATCAGTATAACTTCATATGTTTGTAATATATTTCTAGCGTGCAGATTCATAAGGGCCTAACCAGGCATGGAAAATCATTTGCATTCATTTCGTACATTCATTGACATTCATTTGCTTCTAATTTTTTTCATCAACAGAATTCCGTAAAATTATGTCTGAAGCTTTCGTAGGTTGTATAATTAACAACAAATGTCAATAACTCAAATCTGTATCTCTTATGCATCATGAACTAGAGAGGGCAGAACATGTTATTGTTTTTCGGTGAATGTAATTTACTTTCATTCAAAAACAATGGTGGGTTCAGTTTGCTCTCGTTAATCATGCATAAGAGATACAGATTTGAATTGTTAACAAAAGTTGTAGCTAATTATAAAACCTACAGAGGCTTCATACATTACTTTACGAAATTCTGTTGATGAAAAAAAACTTTAGAGACAAATGAATGTAAATGATTTTCCATGCCTGGGCCTAACTGGGATGATCGATTCTATTCAACGATTTTCTCTTCGCATTACCACAGTTCAGTGAAAACATTTTCCGAAATAATCACGATTCAATGTAGTGAAAGGTTGTATTAGCTAGCAAAAGCAACATAAAACGCACGGAGAAATGTTAATCCAGACGAATTATTGACAAAAGAGAAAATCGATTAAGAGAATCGATCATCGCTGTTAAGGCCCTTAGATTCTGAACGCTAGATTTGTATTTTTTGCTCCCGTGTTTAACAAATTGTGAAGTTTCTTGCGAACATGGGTTTTTCCGTATTGGAATGTTTGAATCTGAGAGTGGAACAGTTAGAGCTGATCGGAACGTGGATCGTGAACCAACATCTGGAGGTTCATCGACAATGCTGCAATGACGGTGCGTTTATTTCGATGCACTTCTTCCCGAGGCCAGGCTGATTTTGTTATTATCAGGATCAAGTAGATGGAGCTCCATTTGCGAGAACAATTGATCTTAAGAATTATGAAGAGGCGGGTTAACTACAGATCATTCGGGTGAGATCCTTCCTTTTTATTTCATTTGTTTGAATTATAATTCTATTAGTATTCATAAAAACTTTACCAAATTATGTCTCAGGGTTTAAATTGAGAAGCTCGGCTAGCTTGGTGGCTGTCGCTTTTGCTTGTTGAGTAGAAGATCGTGGGTTCACTTCCAACCTCCTTCAAAACAAAACAATTCCTAAGATCGCATCGCCTGCGTGAGCGAATCTTGACCCAACTCCGTAGCATATATGGGGGGGTCGGTGAGTTGTAGGCCTCTCGTTAAGTACAGGCACCCCAGTATTATGGACCAGCTAGTCACTATTATGCGTCAGTCAGTTCGGCGTGTTAATCCAATGGAAGTGGCCCATAATTGTGGGTGGCCCATAATACTGAGGTGACTATAGATGGTACACCAACAATATCCTTGCTTTCCCCGTAACGGAGAAGATGGGACTGGCCGGCAATGGCTATTGTCATGCTTTTCCTGTTCTGAATTCTGAATGGAAAGCTATTCACTTCCAAATAGTTTTCCTTAAGAAATTAGAATAAGAACGTTAAAGTAGATACATGACAGTTGCCAGTATGCAATCTACGAATTACTCCGTTGCAAACGGAACTCAACGAATTTTTTAGTTTTTAGAACGATTCTGAGACTTAAGCTTATTCGAATTTCTGGATAAAAAAAAACTAATATGATTACAGGATGTGAAGAAAGACATTCCGCGCAACTACCATAAACCAGACTAGTTTATGTTGATCTTCGTCAAGCTTCGTCTACAATTTGGACTTCTACATCAACAAATGTCAGGCAGCCTTCAGGTTCAATTGGCTAAACTTGGTGAGTTCGTTCCATTTTGCAAATTTTTATCTTTTCAAACCAGTAACGTTGGGAGATAACCCCTTTGTGGTGCGTTACTGGTATAAGATCTATCACCGAATCCTAGTCGTGACCTAGTTGTCTTTATCCTTTTCCTTTCCCTCTTCTCTTTTCAGAAAGCGAGTAATGGCGCTATAGTCATAAGTCATAATAGGCAATTTATTGGATTCTGAAGCATCGTGTTTAAATCTTAGATTTAAACAGGCCCGATGTTTTCTGAATCATCTTGCCCCTTAAATGCTGCACAGTAGGCCTGGCCGTTTTGATATGTGTGACGCATCTTCGATGTGAAACATATATCAAATAGACAAGAAAAATGATGTAGGTATATATATCATTTTCCAGGATGCTTTCAAGAACTGGCTGTGTTGGTGTTAGATTAGATTAGATTCTGAACGCTAGATTTGTATTCTTATCAGGCATTCTTCAGCTTGGTTGTAGAAAAAGGAATGCTGGAGACATTTTTCGGCATTCACTTAGGATTTAAGGGACATCAACAAATCAGGTTGATTCTATATTACTCGCAAATTCGATTCTACATTAAAACCCCTGCAAAATGGTGAATCAAGAATAGATAAAACTTTGTTGGATTGCGGAGTAATCTTTATTCAAACACTGCAAAACGTAAACTTGTATTTCATTTCACGCAAACGTGAAACTACAGCAAGTATACAATATTTGCACAATTTCAGCTGTCTCAGAACTTTACACCATGTAAAATTAGATGATCCTTTTATGTGCATCATATTGAACAGAAATTTATACTACTCTTTCGAACTGTGGACATATAATTTCTATAAATCTAAATTAGGATTGTAGTCCAGGGGGAACCAAGCACTTTAGAGCAAACCCCAAAAAGGCGTTTACTTAGAATGTCACAATAAGCATTTTGATAAAGTTTGATTGAAATCGAAGACATTTACCTCAACTCTGTATACACTTGAGCTAGAGTGGCCAATATGTAGAAATTGTATTGTCATGCAAGCAGGTTCGTCGCCGTCTGCACGTTCAAGTCACTAATCTTTGACTAAACATGTCTCGATCTCTGTAAGATGAACTCAGTATGTAAAATGATATTAAATTTAAAATTTGCATTTACCTATAAATTTACCATTGCTACGTGTTATTTTTACACATTTTTTTTTTGGCTAAACAAATATCGATGATGGTGTGTATGGTGTCCTCTTCAAATTCATATGTTAAAGTTTCAATCGTCTGTTTTTTTTAGATTTTGTCAATTTAAAAAAAAAATCTGACGAAAGGCGACTTGCAACTTTTCCAGGAACTTCATTCCATTGACATTAAATCCATGAATCACCATCCTCGCTCCCTCCCGCTTCATTCAGTAACAACATATATTTTCAAAATATTGAAAGTCCTTGTGAGTTCAGAATCTTGAAAAAAAAATGTAAAAATGATAAAAGCGACCCCATAATTATAGATCAACCCCAATTCTAGATCACTTCCATTTGAATAATACGCTACACACTTAGATTATTTTACCGAAATCTGTGAAATTTTACCGAAATCTCAACAGCTGAACGTTCGGTAAACAGTTCGGTGATTTTTCACAGATTTCCTGTAGTTTTTCACAGATATTCGGTGAAAAGTTCAGCTGTTGAGCTGTTGAGATTTCGGTAAAATTTCACAAATTTCGGTGAAATAATCTTACTGTGTAGACATCCTGATCCATAATTGTTATTCACAATTTGGTTGGTGAGTGTATACTGAAAAAAAAATCAATCAAATTTCTGTACGATTTTCTATATAAGGACGAAAAGATATATGTTCAAACCTAACAGAAAATTGAATCAAACCTAACTTGAAAATTTTTCATGATCCCATATACCTCATATAGAAATCCAGAGGCGTCGCGTGCCTCATTTGTTTACCTGTGCACCAAACTTTGTTCGCTATAGTTTACAAAAAATAGTTTTTGTTTTATTTTTCAATGCTCCATGAATTCGAGGGACATATCGACAGTGAGCATGCATAAGGGCCGATACGCGATGGGTTGTTTTTTTTTTATATCTTTATTAAGGAGACTTTCAGGTTACGCGATGAGTGATTCTCTTCATCGATTTTCTCTTTGCATTGCTACAGCTAAGCGAAACAATTTTCTAGAATTTGTTCAATGCAGAGTTGTAACAGGTTGTATTGGCTATCAAAAGCAACAGCAAACGCACCAACCCAAGTAGCACACATCTGTCACACAAAGTTGCAGCAACATGATTATGACTAAAATGAGTCCTATAGCAGTTCCCTCAATCGGTTTGTGACAAGTGTGTTACTAGGGAGGAAACGTTATTCTAGCGAGTTATTAACAAAATAGAAAATCGACGAAGAGAATCGATCATCGCGTATAGACCCTTATGCATGCTCACTGTCGATATGTCAATGATATGTAGATG